AAGCCGTATTAAAAAAAAAACAAAACCAGACACCTAAGAAACAACCAACTTGCACAAGTGTCACACTACCTATGACAACTGCCAGTTGGGAACTACTCCATAAAGTTGATCCCTGGAACAAAATGTTCCAGAAAGAGAGGAGCAATACATACCTTTGAATATAGTTTTGAAAGTTATAAATAAATTCAACAGCCTTTTAGTCACATGGCAACTTGTTTACACAAATGCATTAATCTTTCTTGCAATCATGTCTCTACTCCAGAATAAAAAGAATTTTAATGTGATTTACTAGCATATAGTAAAAAAAAAAAAAAAGGGCACAAAAGTTGTATAAAAATATACAAACCCCCTGCTGCTTTCCAGCAAAGATGTTCCCAAACAAGAACAGAACTAAAGATGCTTATGAAGAAGAATATGTAACGACTTAATAATGTCAGAATTTATGTGGAGGATTCAGCAAAGGCACACGTTGCTTCAGAATAAACCTGTCAGCATCCTAATAAGAACTGAAATTCCAAGAGGACTAAAGATCCCCAAAGGTGCAACTGTACATATGTCTAAATACAGATCATTTGTACACATGCTTTTTCTTCTGATGTTGTTGAATGCATGCCATGTAGATATCCAAAGCAATTCCCAACACAAAGAAACACAAAGCTTTAGCCCTCCGTATTAGAAGTACCCTTATGGTTTATTTCAGCTTATATTTGAAATCTTTAGGTTTTAAGTAGCTACCCTCACTAAAATGTTCCACTATGGACAGCAGGAAGCAATTCACCCTCCTTCCATCCAAGGCCTTATCCTAAGAAGAGCTTGCTCTATTACTGTAGAAAGCCACAGATAAAACTGACAAGAACTCTGCAAGTTCTTGATGTTACTTCACAGCAGTAAAACAAGAGGGCCACGAGCCCTGAGTCATAACTTGAGCTGTAAGATGTAGCCACATTCTTGCAGGTACTAAAGAGTCAAATTAGTAACAAGTCAGTAGAAGAATTCACCAACTGCCCATGAGCACAAAAATATGCTCTGAGTAACAAAGCAAGTAGAAATATCATGAAGTGGACAATTAGTAAAGAATTCTTGGAGGCGAGTGCTACATCCTAGCAATTGTCAGTATCACCAAGATGAAATGAATGTTTGTTTAATGAATTAAGGGAACTTTATTTGGTTCTACTAGATCCAAATTGTTCGCAAACACATGAAAAATAACTGAATTTCTAAGAAGGATTAGCATATTCAGAATATCTGAAAGTGGACAGACAAGTCACACCATCATTTTAGGGAAGAGAGACATGCCTTCCATAAGTATGCCTTCCATCTTCCACAAAGGTCCTTTGTTTTGCAAACTCTAATCTACTAGAAAACACTGACAATTCAATTAGAAAGCTCACTTGCATAAAACCAAAAAAATTACTTCAAATTAGCTTATAAGAAAAAATATTATTTCAGATATTTAGTCTTGGTTTGAGCAAGTCTTAGTCTAAGCAAGACTAAGGTGTTATAGAAACATAATGAATAAAAATAAACATTTTATCACAGATTTCCATGAAATGAAGCAGAAATAGATATTGAAAAGTTACTGTATTTAAATGCACAGGAAACATTCTTTCATATCAGTTTACAAGCAGTATTACTTAGTATCATCACCAATCTCTCCCCCTGCAGCGCCTGAGAAAACTTAAATGCCCTCTTTCAACTGCTGCTTATTTTGCTCATCAACAATGACTTGTTAGTAACAGTCAATACAATACAGAACATCCCCCTCAACAACAAAATGAAGACTACTGACTCAGGCTGGTAACAAGCCCAGTATCTCTCTACTACAATTAAGTTTTTCCTGAGGAGAAGCAATTTTAATATTTCTCGATATTACAAGACAACCAACCTCATCTACAGGGCTTGTTTAAACTCACAAAGCTTAATAGCTCCCAGTACGGTCACTTTGATCCTTACCAGCTTCTGCTGTCCACTTCTAGTTCGCTAGAAGTTATTTTTGTAACTGACACTAGCTCAAATACCACACTTCCACAAAGAGTAGCTTAACTTCTCACAGTAGGCAATTACAAACTAACCAGTTTTGACAAGAATATTTCTCGGTCTATCCAGCTACTGAAAACTATTACTAAGGTTAAAGACACAGAAAAGGAAATAACCCAGAGTCTAAAGATAGAGAAGACAAATGAACAGTTTGGTCCAATACCTGCACTCCCCTTGACTGACCTAAATGCATCAGAAAGGAAAAAGTGAAACCCAAGGACTCACAGACCTAAAAATCTGGGCGTGCCACAGCACACATAGCAGCAAGCCTGCAGAGCCCAGCAGTGGAGAGATCAGGAGCAGCCTGCAGCTGGGAGAGAACTACAGGACACACTATTCACTCATGTAGGCATGCCATCAGCAGTAGAGCCAAGACTACAACACCTAAGACCAAGTATGCAAGGGCCACACTGAGTATCTTTCATGGAATGTGGGGGTTTGGGGTTTTGTTGTTGTTTTATGGTGGTGGTTGTTCTTTGTCGGTGGTGGTGTAGGTTTTTTGTTTGGTTGGGTTTTTTTTTTTTTTTTAATCAGACCAGTTTTACTAGACTACCAGCTCACAGGATCAAATACTAGACTACAATTTCTAATTAGCACCGTGCATTCCTTGAGCATGCCTCCCAGTTCAGCCTCCTCTGAAAGGAATTCAGTTTGCGTACTCCCACATGAAAACCAGAGTGCAGTAAGCAGAGCTAACTTCTGTAACACACTCCTGATCCAAACAAAGATGCTAATGAAAAATTCAAATATTCTTGAGTTATGATACAAGAAGAGCACACAAATGGATCTCAGACATGCAACAGTGTTAGCTTCAGCTGCTCCTGTAAGTTACGACATACTCCTGCAGTGAGGTATGCTCCAGGTTCCACATATTCCCATCATCAAGATATACCTTTACTGGGAGTTGCAGTGATCTGCTGAAGACAACACAAACTGAGCACTATAGCATAGAAATATCTGGCCAGAAAAGTCTGAATTCAAGTGTTTGATTCTCTTAAGAAAGCAAGTTCTTCTTCATCATTAAACCAGTCAAAACAAATTTTATCCAGTTCTCCACTTCTTATGTCTCTGCTGAAGATGCTTCCTGTTCAGTAATGGATTAAAAACAGGTATGTAAGGCTAGCACTAAATCAGTGAAGTGTTCGGACTCAGTAAGCACTAACTGAAAACATAAATGCTTCACATGTTTCCTTAACCATAAGTGTAAGATGAACTTTCTCTTATCAAACAGAAATTGTTACAGCTTAATAAATATGGAGATAGCACCAGAAACAGCTAGAAGTTTTTGCTAACAGAAAAAGAAATTCAGGAAATACTCTAACCCAGATACACAATACAGACCTGGTAACCTTGGTCATCATGGACGTCTTTGTGTACCTTAACACTCTTAAGTAAAACATCTCTTGACAATTACCTCATTGTATTTCTTATCTTGCTATTCCTTCAACACCTTTGCACCCAAGATCAGAACTGAGACAGTGGAATTTAGATACGCTTACAAGCCAAGGTTGGATTAGAATAAAAATATCCTGTGTTTTAAAAATCAGATTGTATACAGTTAAAAATTTAACTACAGCCAGTGTAACAAGTCATTCATTGCTTACAACTTATAAATTATTAACTACAACACAAGTGTACAATCTACTCAGTATACGAGTGTTTTTAATGAATATTTTTACTTTATGTATGATATAGTTAAAAAGCTAGCCAGATAAAATCCCTGCCCAAAACCAGTTTGTAAGTTACAATCAAAAGCAATTCCATTGAAATTGTTATTGGACACTTTGCAAGCATTTGGGAAACCAAATGTTGTAAAGAGCTACTGAGGCAGAAGCACTAAGAAAAACACAATCTACTCAAAAATTGTTGAAGTTCACCTGTATCCAAGGAGCAGATAACAACAAATTAGCAAAATCAGTTTGAAAGCCAATGAAAGAAAGTGGCTGCATTGGTAGTAAAATTAGTAATTTTGTCTACAGAAAATCTGTCCCAATTTTAGGAAACAAGGACCAATGTAGATACCTTCTCATGTAGTCACACTACATGGTGAAAGTCTACTTCTGAAGCTACAGTTTATGCAGATTTGCTTGTCTTTTGAACTTAAAAACGATCAGCCACCTTGATAGTTAGCAATCCAGCTATATATATATGTATCTGTCAGTTTCTAAAGGTATCCTAAAATGCTTTTGGAAAAGGAAAGCCCTGCCTTAGGGAACAGTTAAGCACATTTGAAAGACATAGCTATCAGTAGGAGCATCTCAAATCCGTTGCATCACAACAAATGTCAACATTGAGGCTGACTGCTCTATGGTAAAGCCACTGACCAGAAGAAAACCACCACCTTGCTAGTGTATGTTCTTAACCTGAACCCCCTCAAAAGTCACAGTCTGGGTTTTGGTAGGCTTTCTGAAACTTTAAGCTTTTACCCATCTCTCCTTCATTGTCTGAAGTATTTACTATCTTCATGGTTATAGTGAACTTGAGTTCTTAAGTCTTCTATGAAAACAGCGAGTCATGTATTTTCTTCTGTGCTGGAAATGCAAACATTTCCACTACAGAATTCTTGATTAAAGCTGGTAGACATACCACAATTTCCCAACAGGATGTTATATTAACCAGACCTTGCATGAATGCACAGAGAAAGACTGTTTAGAGAAATGTAAGTTCTTAATAATATAGAAAACTTTCACAAAAAAGGCAGCACGAATTCCCATCATATGTCTGACAAAGTGTTACATGAGGAAGTAAAGTTACAGTGCAAACAGAAGAAATTTGCACTGTTTTAAGAATACATCACAGTTTTTTTTTTAGTTTTAGCAAAATTTGAATCTTCATAGAAACTAAAGAAAACTGCAAGACAAAGTATGTAGTCTGATATGGATGCTGATGACAGGGAACTTAACCAGAACAAAGGGAAAGCTAGTGGAGCCATATATTGAAATAATTTCTGTTTTATTACTTACCGTATCCCATATCTGAAGCTTTATCTGTTTTCCATCAATAGTTATCATTCGAGCCCCAAATTCTACACCTGAATAGATTTTACAAAAGATTACATTATTAGCATATATCAGAAAGAAGAGTGTCATGTACCATGAAAGCAAGAACGTAAGTTTAAGTTAACTCAACACTGTATTTGTACGAAATAGCCTCTTTCGCAACCTGCTTTTAGTTAATTTTCCAGCTGCTTGGAAGAGCTGGGAAGTTCTCCAGAAGGAAGAAAACTGACTTTCCAAGTGCTTTAAACATGCATTAATTAGAGCAAGTGTCAAGGAGGTTATTTCCTACACAGTTTTCCAAATGATTTAGTAGCTCAAATCAGAGGGAGAAAAACATGTCCATTTGAATGCAAACAGGAAATTGAAGAGTCACAGTTATTTTAACACTCTACTAACGATAGATTCTATTAAGTAACCATACAAATGTCACCCTCAACAAGATAAATTTTATTACGGTATTAATTAAAACTCATCTGCTTCCAAAATTCTAGCTAGTTAAAGATCAAATTCAGTAAGAGGGAAAAAATTAATGCATTTCAAATAAACAAAAGGAATTTCTTCAGTGAAAAAATTCAGCCTTTTGTACTGTCCTTTAAAGCAATTTTAGGATCATTAACAGTAAATTAAGCATAAATTGAGGCTATTACTACACTAGTTAAAATCTGACAAATGCCTAGAGATAGTGGGCATATTTAAAGGCTGTCAAGTCTCCATTAATCTATGCTTCATATATCCATTATTTCAGGAAAAGAAAAATCTTGTAGCTTAAGTTTTGTCTAAAATTGGTTACTATCTAGATTTGGACTGAAGTCTTTCAATTAAGCATCCCTGATTTCAAGTATTCCAAACGTCTCTTCAAAAGCTTGTTTAGGATATTTGGTGGGGCAGCACTGCTTTCCGCAGTGACTTTTGGGGAAGGGGACAGGGAGGAACCACTCTTCCCCACACAAGATATGGGAGCCAAATAAAAGTGGTGGGCCAAAGAACACTGTGCTTTCTTTAGCATCCAAGTAACTTGCAGTAACTGTATGCAAACAAGTGGAAAGACTGGAGGAGGAGGGGCACAAAGGAGGAAGCAGGTGAATGACAATGCTCTCTGAAGCTGATTGCGAAGACAGGGGAAGGAACTTGAACTACTACAACTGTCAACACTACAGGTATTACTCGCAGATAAAGAGCTGCTGATTTAAATCCACCAATCATCCCAAATGTTTAGTTTCTATACACAACCCCATAGAAAAACTAAAAAAATATGTTTCCTGTTCCATCAAAATATCTGCTGAGAAAAAAATTCTGAATTTGAAACAACACACAGTTTGATGGTAAGTTTGTTCTCTTAAAGAAGGAATAGAAGCTGTTTGGGTTTACAGTAAGGGCATGTCCTAAGGGCAATGGGCAGAACAAACGGAGTATTTACAGTCATTTTTGCCACCCATATCTACCTACAAACATTGTGGGGTCTTTTTCAGCTAGGTTTTTGTGCGTGTGTTTGGTTTTTATTGTTGCTGGCTTTGGGTTTTTTTTTTTTTTGGGGGGGGGGGGGGGGGGGTTCCCCCTCCCTCCTTAGTTTCTTTTAATAACAGATACTTCAATTGCCAAATGAAAAAAAAAATTGAGATAGTTGTTGAATTGTAAGCTCTTTTAGAGTACACTATTAAAATTATGCACAATTCTGAATGTAGCTCAAAGACAGAAAAATATCTGCTTCTATGTATTCTATCTCCCCCCCTCCCCCGTTTTCATTAGAGGTAAAGTTTCTCTCAGAATGTCTTACATCTTAGAAATAACATTTTAGGCTAGCTACTAAAAATTTGGGGCTGAATTTTGCACAACTCTAGATGAAATGTCTTTTTTCCACATGTACAATTTCAGTTTCCCTTCTCCTGAGTCGCTCACAACAGAAGTAGAATCTGCACTCCCATAGGCTAAAATCATTGTAATGATTTTAAAATCATTGAAAAAAAAGTTAGGCTATATAACACCAGCCTTTTTATTCAATCTAGAGCTTCTTAGGAGTTTTAACATCATCAGTTGGAAGTGCAGTAGGTAACATCAATCCATCCCATCTCACACTGAATGGGCATTCTTATGGCTTTGAACCCATGTTCTTTATTGAACTCTGTCTTTGTAAATTTGTTTGGGTACTTGGGAAAAGCATTCTCCTGCCCAAAACACACACCCTCCCCCACCAGTTTAGTGGAAAGAGGCTGCTTCCAGCCTATGCCCCTTCTTCCCCTTTCCAAGCAGCTTCCCATGCTCCATTCCTACATCGCTCATTGCTATCTAGGTTCACATTCTCATCCCCACTAGCTTCAGCTTCTGCTCCCAGATTTCAGCTAGCTGTTTGCCAGGCAAAGAACTGGCACTACCACCACTCTGCTGAGGTGAAGCTGTTTCCCACAGCTTATCAGTTTGCTGATGTGACAGGGCTGCCAAAGGCATAAGTGATATATATGGTGTCATATATTTGGCAGGCCTAAAGAAGAAAAGATGACAATAACTCATGCCTCCCTTAATTCACCCAGGCTATCTGCTGCCAATGCCTCAGAAATATTTGAAAACTGATGTTAGCCTAAGAATTTGAATTATATTAGACAGCCACACACAAGGTGTGGGAAGACTGTCAAGAAAGGGAACCCATAACCAAACCACCCGATGCATTCTGTTACATGAAGAATATTTGTTTGTATTTCAAACATCTATTTCAGTACTCCCAAACACATGAAGCCTACCTATTCCAGGGCACAAACTAAAAATAGAGACTAGGGATACATTTTGTGCAAGGCTCATCATGATTAGAGCTGATAGGTTCCTTGAAATAACATCAAGAAGAAGTTCAAAGGTTCTGCAAACTTATCAGAGACTAGCATCTGTTCATTTAACACTGAAACTGATCTGAAGACTAACCTTGCCTACAGAAGAATTTATTCCCACACTATTCCTCACAGATTCTGTGTGGGAAGATAAAGAAAAGTGTGTATTATTTACTGTAGTTAGATCAGAGGCAACACGTTCTGTTAACATGTACTCATTTCCCCTAGCATCAATATCAAATCGTACCTAACACAAATGGTCCACATCCAATTGAGGAGTCAGGAATAAAAACCTCTGTCCCTTCCAAACAGTGAATACTGTCACACTCCAAGCCTTCTCTATCCACAAGTTAGACTTCCCAAATAGTAAATTTGTTTATTCACGTTTAAGGTTAACTTTGCTGTAGTTTACCTGTAACTTGTCTCCAAGGTTCTGTGGCTAGTCTAATATTCTGTACCCTGGCGAAAAATCTGCCATTTGCATAATCATCAATGCATTTCAAGATTGGCCAATTATGCTTCCATGCCCAGTTTTTAGCTTTTTTGAAGAGACAGTTGAGATACTATAGCTATGGGTTTTTTTAATTGTTTCAGATTGTACCTTCCCAATAAGAAAAAAAGGCCTCCAACTGGCTTTATTAGTCAAGAAATATTCATCAGCTAAAGATTCACAGCTACCTTAATACAGCACAAATCCTACATTACTGTAGCACAACAAACTCAAATGCATGCTGAGGTACCCTAGCTGCTTAACTATTAGCACTGGGGGGGACAAAAGAGACCTACCAATAGTGAGATCGTGGACTGGTTGAAACCGCTTGTCTGTAAACTGTAACAATAAACATGATTTCCCAACACCTAAAAAAAAAAAAGAAAAGAAAGAAGTTTTAAGAAAATTTTTTTTAAATCTGCGAAGAACCAACAGAAATGAAATGAATTGTATATATTGTTTAAAATTCTTTACTAGAACTTGAGATACTAGATTTCACCTACTTTGAAGTATGTGCAGCTTTTTTATAACATAACAGCTTTCAAAGTTCCAGGAACATTAAAGTCAAAGGAGTTATTTTCAAAAATTGAACAGAAATTAATTCTTCGTTTGAAAAAGTAGTTCTGCCATTAAAGTCAAGCGGAAAGAAGTTTCCTAACAGACCTTTGAAAGTATCATTTCACATACTCTCTCAACAGTAACTACAGGTCTTGCTGCTCCTCAAAACCCTACATCTGCTTCCCCTTCAGTACTTTCAGCTTTCTTCCAAGCTAACCAGATCCTCAATAGCACCTCACTCCCACCTATCTCCTAATTTATCAGCCGAGGTAACAGCAGTACATATATGGCTGCTTACAATCACTATGTGTTACCACCCACTGGTTCCAAATAGGCCAAAAAATAGTCCAGGCTATTAGCACAACTGACAACAGCTGAGTTCACATTACAGCTAGACAGACAACACAAACATTGTCCATCGCGGATAACCTATTTGGGTCTAAAATCAGTGTATCTACTTCCCATTACTTGGACCCTGGTCAGCAAAAGGACAGTTTCTTCTGTTCATGAAAGCAGAGAAAAGCAAAAGTTAATGCAGTTATTAGGAATACTCAAACACTACTTAGGTTGGTAAACATGATACTCTTTACAGCTAATTTTTCCTTGTTCTTTTGCTTGGTGGGGTCATTCTTCCCATTCTGTTTAGTCAAATTTCGTATTTTCAGCCTTTTAGAACTTGACAGTCATACATTTGCTTTACATACATTTAAATTCTGAACTATTTCACATAACATACAATACTGTAGCATCCAAGTTCCTGTTGTACTTTGCTTTATCTGTCCAGCAAGATAAGGCTATTTTAGCTACATACTAGAGGTCAGCAACAGCTGATCAGGAGTGACATATCTGGTAATAAGGCAGTAAAGGGATAAGGAAAAGAACCATACTGCAAGACACAAGATATGCATACCAGAGGTTTGCATGTAGTGACATTGATTTTTCTACTCTAAATTCAGCAAAGTTTTTTAGTTTGGTTTCATGAGGAAAAAAGCCTATACAATTGTAATCACTGCCCACCTGTCATTTTGGCTAAGTGGCCAGTTTCAATCACACCTAACAGAAATAGGAGACTTGCATTTAATTTTGTCACAAAACAAGTTGTGACAAATTGATGACACTGAGATTTATACGCCAAGCAATGCAGCAACTCCAGTAGCCTAAGCCAGTTGTTTGGTGCTGCTGTCTCTCCTCTTTTCCCTTCAGCATGTTCATGCCCCTTTCTCCTTATTGCTTCAGAATTCATCTAAGCCATTTCTGTTGTGCACTGGGTTAGCACGCTAACCCGACAAGAAGAGTGACAAAGCAAACAGAAATGGCTTCATGCAGGGTCAGACAGGCATGAGAGTTAGTTCAAATGAGGGAAAAGAAATGCAGCAGCCAGCAGATCAACAGCTTAGAGTGGCATGGAACTACAGTCCATGGCAAAGTTTGCAGCATCGGTCTTAACAGATCTCTTTTCTATAGCTCTCTGGCTTATGACAGCAAACTGTCAGAACACAAGCAGCTTGGAAGCAGGTATAGATTTTGTTCAACAAAATTAGTGACCAGAAGAGAAATGGATGAGGAATGGGGGACAGCGCTGGAGGTAAGAAAGAAACAGGGAAAAGAGGGAAAAAGAACACAGATCTCTAAGGAACCTTAAAATATTAAAAATTCTTCTACTCACAAAACACTGTTACATATACAGATAACTTTTACACCACCAATGAAATACAGCTGCCCCCATCACAGAACACAATCACCACCCCACTTACAAAAAACAATCTATAAATCACACCAGAAACAGAATGCAGAACAGCTTCTGCCATTAACATTACAAAGTGATTTCAGTATCATGGGATAAACTGAAACCTCAAACCTATCCAATATTCCTGCACAAGTCTTACAAACATTAGAAAAATATTTCAAAATCTAATCAACAAAGTGACACTCGATTAGGAGTCCCAACACTAGTTCTCAAGTGGCAATCTGCTATTTCTTCCTGTAAGGCTGGTGACCAGCTTACTGGCTCAGGAGAACATACAAACACTGGCATCAGCACAGGGAAGATGACAGACAAGCACAGCCTGTTTCATGCAAGCCCCGTCTCAAACTGGGACAAGATGACTGCACCTCTAGTTACCTCTATGTAGCAGGCCTTTTAAGAGCAGACTGCTGGCTGATGGGTTCACACACAGAAACAGAATAACTAGCTTCTGATTAGTGCCCTTCTGCTACTTCAGAGCCTTCCAGCAAAAAAAGGCTGGAAGTCCCAAAGTTTTGTATTGTTGTTGACTGAAAAAGAGGTTCAAAAAGCTGCAAACAAAGCTGTAGTGCCTGTTAAGTTTGTTATAATCCATTTTAGATAGTACTTGCAAATATTTTATTGCTTACATTTAATAGTAATATTTTGTTTTATAGTTTTAAGACATTGCAAGTTTATAACAGGAAAGTTCTTATGAGAATAGCTTGTGGCCCGTTCACTTCCAGAGCCTGAGCAGATTGTGCTACCACAGACACAGACAGGAACAGGAGCCGAATATGAAGTCGCAAGCAGTTTACCACCTTGTGACATAAACAGATGCTGCAAAGATCAATTAACAGTTGCATGGCAGCTAATCCCATGGCATACAAATGGTTTAAAGTAACTATACTGGCTAACCCTAAAAGCAAAGTGGCTGTTTACCAGGCATCGCATTCACTTAGCACTGTGAATCTTATACCTGAAATGAGGCAGACACTCTGGGAAAAACAGGTTTTTGTTTTTTAAAAAAACATAAAAGCATGTCTTATAAGTGTCAATTGTAGAACACAAAAAAGACAAATCCAGTTATTTATTAACTCATTCCCCATTTTACCGCCACAATTACTTTAATATAGCTTCAGATAAATGACCCCAGAGAAAAAGATCTGGTATCTTAAACCAAGAAATGAACAGAGCTTGGATACACTTCACCACATACACGATAAACAAAAGCAAATTAAAACAATGGATTACATGCTCAGAGGGGAGCAGCGTGCTTCTTTGCAAGTGCCTGTTCCAGGATCCCTTCATCACTTCTTAGCACCCAAACAGTAATGGGAAGTGGAACCTGTGCTACAGCAGTTTTGCCCTCCAGCTCCCAATTCCAAACTATCAGCCCGAGTTGGTTCTCCAAATTCCACTGCCTCCCTTAACAGCTTCCTCTTTATCTGGGTGCTACTCTGCAGTGACCTTCACTAGGCAAAGTGTTGCCAGAGCTTTGCTATTGTCCACTGTGGCCCAGCCACGCTCCAACACCTCCCTTCCTTATATCAATACTAGTGTTCACTGCTTGGCAAGCCAGAACAGCCAAGTGGTATAGCTAACCTCTCCCTTTTCATAAGGTTATGCAGTGAGCTAAAGCAAGAAATGGATCCAGCATAAAAATACAGTCACCCAAAACACTAGTATATGCATGAGACTAGGGCTACAAAATACATAGCAAAGGGAAGGGTTGTTCTTTTTAGTAGCAGGCTGCACTCATGACAATTAAAAAAGCAGCTCTGGAATCATGGCACAGGTGATGAGCCAGTTAAATGGCTTTTGCTAAGAAAGCTGACTTGCATCCTTCTCCCCTTTCAGCTCCTGTGACTCCCTGTGAATAAGGCAAGGAAAGTTCAGTTATCAGCTGCAAAGTCAGAGATGTACTACTGTCAACATGAGGAAAACTTCCAGGTTTTTCTTACCATTTCACAAAGCTCCTTCCACTGATGTTTGGGTGTCTTAGAAAGCTGACCTGGCTCAAAACTAAAAACACCTCAAGAAACAGGGGAGGGGAGGGCTAAGATCATTTCCTTACTTGTTCACATAAGCACCACTACAGCCCAAAAAAGGTGACACAGGAAAAGAACTGCAGTAGCAGTCATCCCAACCTGGGTATCAAAACTGAATCCTGATGACAAATCTCTTCAGTTAATCTGCTAGCTGCCTCTGATGGGTAGACTCATTCCTTCCCGCACAGTTCCACCTCCTTACTCAAAATGGCTCTTGCACATTTCTGACCATACCTGCTATTTGTTTCGTTTTTAAATAATCTTTGTGAGCTAGACTGGCTGTCTGAGGGATCAGACAAGCGCCAATGCTGACAGCTAAGAAGCAGAACTTTATGGCTGAGATGAGGAGTGGTAACCATGTCCACCCATGTTGGCAGCAGATAAACATTGGCTTAAATCAGCCATCTCACAGAACTGTATTCTTGTTGCTTCACAAGATGGGGTGATCAATCAGCTCACTACCTGCAGAGATGAAGACCTACTCTCCCTTTGATATGTTGCTCTCAATGATCCTCCTAGGTCCAGTTTCCTCCCTTGAAAGTACTCCAGACCTTGGTAAGCACTTCCCTGGGCCAACTCAGCTGGTTCATCCACCAAGCAAGAAATTTACCCCCAAAAGTAGGTAGTCTTCTACAGTGTTAGTGGGTTGATTCAGCTCATGGTAGACTATCGAAGTCACCACAAGGTAAGGCGAACAAGACTTCCTCCTTTCACATGTCACCAACTATGTCAGCTTAGAAACCCTAATACCAACTGAGCTGAAACAAGCTTCCCACTTCTATTACCTCCCTTCAGAAAGCAAACAAAAATAAATCTTTACATAGGCTAAGGATGGTCTTAAACAACAGACAAGTCTCGAATAACAGATTTTAAAACCATCTCAGATTTAAAACAGGTAATTAAGTAGCACAAATGTCACAAGATACATACCTCTAACCTGGCTTATGAGCTACTTCTAGGCCTTTCTAGCAGTTTGCACAGCTTCCCGATGTTTCATAAGCCCTTTTCTTATCACAGGCTGCAGCTCATTCCCCCTCTCCTTCCTTTCCAACCACAACATCTTTATGCAACTCAAAGTGCAATATTACCCTTTCACAGGCCTAAGCATAATGAGACATTAACCTAAAGCAAAGATTTTTCT